GTGAGACAGATGAGGGGAAGTTACAGGTGTGGGCTTTCCCTCCCATGAGTGTCTCTCCCCCAGACTAAGCCTACTCACCACTGGCTGTATCTCCGCTCAAAAATCCCCCATAGTCCTAGACTACTGCATATATAATCTTTTAAAAATTGAGATCATGCTCTTCAATCTTTTTTTAAATGTTTTTTTTTTTTTAATTTATTTCTGGGAGAGAGAGAGAGACAGCATGAGCAGGGGAGAGTCAGAGAGAGAGGGAGTCACAGACTGAAACAGGCTCCAGGCTCTGAGCTGGCAGTCAGCACAGAGCCCGACGCGGGCCCGAACCCATGAACCGCGAGATCATGACCTAAGCGAAAGTCGGACGCTTAGCCGACTAAGCCACCCAGGCGCCCCTCTTCAATCTTTTTTTAAACTTAACACATACTGGGTCTTCTTTCCGGGTTGGTTCATATCAATTGGTTTCATTCTTCTTCGTGTCCATAAGTTTCTTTTATATTGGCATGTTTTAATGTGAACAGTCCCCTTCCATGGGTATTTCAGATTGTTTTCATTTCTCTTGACCACTTCAAGGCACTAGTGAAGGTCTTCCCATGCACCCTTCTCTGTGGACACGCATCTTGTTTGTGGGGGATGAATTTCACGAGGGGAGACATGAGCCGCGGCATATACACATTCTGTGTTTTGAGATACTCCAAACCAGCCTTTCAAAATTTCTATCACTTTAGGCCCCAACCAAGTGCATGAGAATACACATTCCCATCTCTCTGTCTCTGGAACATCGGATGCTTCTATTCTTTTTACTTTTGCCAAAGCAGTCAATGAGATGGTATCTTTTTTTTTTTAAATTTATTTCTGAGAGAGAGAGACAGTATGATCAGGGAAGGGTCAGAGAGAGAGGGAGATATAGAATCCGAAGCAGGCTCCAGTCTCCGAGCTAGCCATTAGCACAGAGCCCGACGCGGGGCTCGAACCCATGAACCATGAAATCATGACCTGAGCTGAGGTCGGCCGCTTAACCGACTGAGCCACCCAGGCGCCCCAATGAGATGGTATCTTGCTGTGGTCTAAATATGCCTTTCGGGGCCTGCTAATGATGTTAAGCCTCTTTACATGTATTTATTGGCCATTGCATTTCTTCCTCTGTGAATGAAGCATCTTTTCAAAGAACATGAGAAATACCTGCTTATAGACAACAAGAACCAAGTGCAGTTTGAAATAGCTAGGCTTTTGTAATTACTCTTTAAATCTTCAAAAAAAGAGTAGGTATGGGTGAGGGCTGGGGCCAGGTTTTAGGCACAGGGAAAGAGAAACATTTTTCAATCACATTAAAAACCTTTAAAAATGAAAAGCGTCTCGGGCCTGCTAGGTGGCTCAGTAGGCTAAGCATGTGACCCATGATTTCAGCTCAGGTCAAGGTCTCGTGGTTCATGAGATCGAAACTTGTGTCCGGCTCTGCACTGACAGCATGGAGCCTGCGTGGGATTCTTTCTCCCTCTCCCTCTGCCACTCCCCTACTTCCATACGTGTGCTCTCTCTCTCTCTCTCTCTCAAAATAAATAAGCTTAAGAAAAATCAAAAGCAAAAATCAAAAGAAACATCTGAAAATTCTTTTAAGCTTCCAGAAAACAAGCAATTCTCACGTGACATAAATTGCCCCAGAAACAGAAAACACAGCTTACAATGGAGTATATTCTGTGAATTAAATATCACACTAATAATAAGCCTTGATTACGTGGAAGGAAAACTATAGCTCAATATTTATGACTCTGAGATGAACACATTGAATACAGTAGGGAATGTAAATCTATAATATACTGATACAAAAATCTGCAATGACCAAGTTGGGGTTTTCATGGAATATAAGGACAATGCGATATATGGAAATTTATGCATAAAATACCCTATATTCGTGGGATAAATAAAATAGGAAAATTATGATCATCTCATTAGAGTCTGAAAATTCAGCACCTAATCCCAAGAAAAATATTTAAATATAGGAATAAAACATACACCTTATCATGATGAATAGTGGTTTTTGTAAACCAACTGCCAATAGTGAAATACTAGAATCAGTTTTATAAAATTAAGTAATTTAAGATTTCATACTAACCCAATAAGGCATGGGTCCAAAATGAGAAAAATGAGTATTAAAAAAATAAGAAAGAAACCCAGCCTTATGTATTCATGAAGCATTTACTCAATAACTATTATAATTAGTAAAAGTTCAGTAAAGCACAGAGGAGTATTACAAATGAATAATATCTCTATAGAGTAACAAAGCAAGTTAGAAAACACAACATTAGGGGCGCCTAGGTGGCTCCGTCAGTTGGGCATCTGACTCGATCTCAGCTCAGGTCTTGATCTCAGGGTTGTGAGTTCAAGTTCCGCGTTGGGCTCTGTGCTGGGCATCAAGACCATTAAAAAACAAAACAAAACAACCCACAATGTTAAAAGATACTATTCACAATAGCATGAAAACAACTTGAAGTATCTAGGAAATAACGTTAACATGACATGTAAAGAAGCAAACAAATCTCACTGCAAGGAAAATAAAAACTGGAGCTGCTGGGAAGCCACACCGTGCCACCGCGTAGACATAGCAACTCCTGGGATTTAAGCAGGGGTCTGTCCTGAGCCCTCCTTAGTGGCCTGTATTTGCACACACTATCACGGCACATAACTTCCTTTATCAAGTTTAACTAGAATCACGTGGAGCTCCCTGCCCCTGCATGCGCGCTCTCGCACCCGGAATGGCAGGAAGCCACAAAGCAGAGAGAGACACGGGACCCTGTCACTGGCCTGACGTGGGCCAGAGCCACCGCTGCAAACAGGACAGGCTTGGTGTCATTATACACAGGCAGACTGGTGGGTGACGGGACCACAGAGACCCCAATGTACTGCATCTCTATATATAGATGTATAGAGCATCTCTATAAACACGAAGGTGCGCCACCCCCGTCCCCAGACGCGATAGCATGGAGGAGTGTAATGTCCCATAACATCACAGTTTAAAACCGGCACACGCAGTGGTGACAAGTTACCCAAACCCCGTGGAAAGGAATATGAACTTGAAGTGGAGGAACCAAGTCAAGGTTATGTTGCAGTCGTGGGGATGGTTTTTGTCCAAGTACATCGAGACTGTACTTTAAGGGATTTTGAGCAAGAAGAAGCTGCTACAGAAGCGTCTTGAAGCCGGGGTAAGGGTGCCCTGCTGCCCGTGCGGGGGGCACGCTCGCTGTCCCTCCACCCTTCTGAGTCTTTAGCCTGAGACCCTGTCATAAAAGACAGATTAACAAGGAGTTCGTTAGCGTGTATATCTCACGTGGGAGTGACCAAGCGGGGAAATGAATGACTCCCCAAGGTGGCTGAGAATTTAGTCTTAAATGCCAATTTTAAAAAACGTTTATTTACGTTTTAAACATTTTTAATGTTTATTTTTGAGAGACAGAGAGACAGAGCACAAGCAGGAGAGGGGCAGAGAGAGAGGAAGACAGAATTTGAAGCAGGCTCCAGGCTCTGAGGTGTCAGCACAGAGCCTGACGTGGGGCTCAAACTCACGAACCGTGAGATCATGACCTGAGTCAAAGTTGGACGCTTAATGGGGCGCCTGGGTGGCTTAGTCGGTTAAGCGTCCGACTTTCGCTTGGGTCGTGATCTCGCGGTTCGTGGGTTCGAGCCCCGCGTCTGGCTCTGTGCTGACTGCCAGCTCAGAGCCTGGAGCCTGTTTCGGTCTGTGACTCCCTCTCTCTGACCCTCCCCTGTTCACGCTGTCTCTCTCTCTCTCCTAGAAATAAATAAAAAAACATAAAAAAAAAAATTAAAAAAAAAAAAAGTTGGACGCTTAACCGACTGAGCCACCCAGGTGCCTTTATTTATTTATTTTTGAAAGAGAGAGAGAGAGAGAGAGGGGGAGAACGTCAGTGGGGAAGGGGCAGAGAGAGAGGGAGACACAGAATCTGAAGCAGGCTCCAGGCTCTGAGCTGCCAGCACAGAGCCCAACACGGAGCTCGAACCCACGAACCGCGAGATCATGACCTGAGCCAAAACCAAGAGTCAGATGCTTAACCTCCTGAGCCACCCAGGCGCCCCTTAAATGCCAGTTTAATAGGAAAAGGGGAGGAGGGGAGGTAGTTCTCTTGGAGGGTAGCAAATGCTTTCCAGGAAAGATGAATGGCCCTTAGAAGAACAGGCAGGAGGTATGATGTTTTGTGACAAAGTGTGCCTGGGTGTGGTGTCGCTTCCAGTCTCCTGTGCCTGGGCTGCGGACACCCCGGGGGCATCGATGACAGCGGAGCTCCTCCTGGGAATCTGTCTTCAGGCAGGTTAGGGGAGTTCAGAGAAACCCTCTCCCTGCATTTGGGATGGTGGATGGCAGAGGGCTGGACAGAATCGTTGCTCCCTTGCTTTCAAATTTACAGTGACATAAATAACATGACCCGGGTCATCCTGTGCCTGTCGTTGGCTTATCGGATGATTATCAGAAGGCTTGGTGGCTCCATCCGTAAGATCACAATTTCTAAGTCCTTTGCCAATCTGCTTTGCCACCAGAAACCTAAGAAATTGCCAGTTTTACTACACCCTAGTGAGCAGTGGGTATTATCAGAGTTGAATTGTTTGGTTAAAGTCCTTCGGCAAAAAGATACTAAATTTTTGAGTGTTTAAGATTTTTTTAAAAAATTGGTTTGAGAGAGAGGGAGAGAGAGAGAGAGAGAGAATGAATCAGCGGTGGAGGGGCAGAGAGAGAGGGAGAGAGTCCTAAGCAAGCACCACCCTCCACGCTGAGCCCAACGCCCGGCTGATCCCATGAATCCCACAAACCACGAAATCATGACCTGAGATGAAATCAAGAGTCAGATACTTAACCCACTGAGCCACCCAGGCGCCCCATAGACACGAAGATTTTCAATGTATTCTCACTTTGTTTTTCTTTCCCCCAAATTATAACTAGATAGTTCCTTTTGCTGGGGACATCATTAAATATCTCCTAGACAAGATGAGCAGAGAAGACATGCAATACATACTCTTTCACCCGGAGGTTTGGGAGCAGCTGGTGGACAGAAGCGGTTTGGACAGGTAATCCGTGAACAGCGATGTGTCGGGGCGGGGGGTGTGTGTGGCAGGGAATCACTGGAACGTGGGCTGATGTGCTCAGGGCCACAATCCCAGCCTCTAGAACAGCGTTTGGTGCAGAGCTGACACTCAGGACATTTCAATGAGGGCAGGAAATTGGATTGTTCATGTCCGAATTCTGTCGCTAGGCTGTCGTCAGCCTCACGGTAAGAAACCCACAAATGTGTTCCAACCAAGTGGACCGAAGAGTTCATCGTGCCTTCTCATGTGCCTCCCTTTGCAATCGGAAATGTGCGGAAGGGTGGGGGGAAAGCATTTACACATCCTCATACAACAGTTTCTTAGGAAAGTAAATCAAACACCTCTGGCGAGCACATTACCGGCCGCTGAGACACCGGCCTGTTAGTGCACCGATTCCTAGAAGCAGAATTTGCTCAGTTTCCCCCAGAGTGGCTACACTTGCCCCATCCCGGCTCGCGTCACCAGAACGTCTGGGCCTTGAGACCCAAACTCCTCACAGTGCACGGCCTTTAGCTGGACGCTCAGGCCCCGCAGGGAAGCTCGGCTGCGTTGTGCTCATTCGTAATGGACTCTGCAGCCCAACAGAGGCCGAACCTACTCTTGCCCAAGTGTCCGTGAGCCCCGGGAAGTGAGTGGCAGGTCTACTCCGTGCTCTCAAACTGTAAAATCTTCCTGAGACGTGCGAACCAGAGCTGCCGGCCCTTTCAGGATGGGGACGAGCCTTTCCACGTACCCCTGACCTTGGCCCAGCCTCCCTCCACGTGGCCGTCCTCTTTAGACGATCTCCCTCACGGTGCCGCCGGTCAATCCTGAAGCGGCTCAGAACAGTGTTCTTCCCACATGCTGCTGGCTCAGGAGCCCCCCTTGGGCCAGAGTTAATTAGTTCACTCGCACGGTGCCCGCGCAGAGAGATGGATTTCTCTTTCTCAGGGGAATAGGAGCCTCGGCCAGCAGGTGAGGCCAACCAGAGGCTCTGGGAAGCTGGAGTCCCGGGTTCTGACCCTAATTCCATCTCACAGTGGGTTGTCATGTAGGGAAGGTCACCTTGCCCTTGGGCCAGCGTTCTCCTCTGTGACTGAGGGAGCAAACGCGGCAGATGGGCTCTTTCCTTCTGTGCCGGGCCTGCAGAGATCAGGATGGGCCGATGTGACGTTCTTTCTCAGAGCCTAGACGTGCACCGAGATACTGTGAACGTGGTCTGGACGCCCTCCCAGTAACGGCAGGGGAGTGACGCCTTTGTCGTCTATGAACAGATGATCTGGGGAAGCTTCCACCTTGAACACCCTATAGATAGAAGACAGGTGGGAGGGGGGCCGACCTCCGAGGTGAACAGGGATGTCCCAAAGAAAACTCCAGGCAATGGGGCGCCTGGGTGGCTTAGTCGGTTAAGCGTCCGACTTTTGCTTAGGTCATGATCTCGCGGTTCGTGGGTTCGAGCCCCGCGTCGGGCTCTGTGCTGACTGTCAGCTCAGAGCCTGGAGCCACTTTCGGAGTCTGTGTCTCCCTCTGTCTCTGACCCTCCCCTGCTCACGCTGTCTCTCTCTCTCTCCTAGAAATAAATAAAAAATATTAAAAAAAAAAATTCCAGGCAAGCCTTTAATTTTTAAGTTTATTTTAATTTTATATTTTTGTGATCTGTTCTCCAGATTCTCTTCTTTGTTTTATAAGTTATTTATTTATTTTGAAAGAGAGAGCCAGTAGAGGAGGGGGCAGAGAGAGAGGGAGGCAGATGATCCAAAGCAAGGATCCAAAGCCCCCGACGCAGGGCTCGAACTCACAAACCATGAGATCATGACCTGGGCCAAAGTCAGACGCTTAACCAAGTGAGTCACCCAGGTGCCCCTGAGCAAGTCTTTTTTTTAAGAGAGTGACATGGGGACAGGGAAGGACGTCCAGAGGCCCCTCCTGCTTCCCTGGGCAAGAGTCTACGGTTGGCTGGTCTACCTAGGCATTGCCCAGGGAGCAGGGGGCTCTGATGAGATCGTCAAGGGTCTCTTTATGGAGGCTGTGAGGCTGCGTGGTCTCAGCATAGTTTTTCCACAAGCCCCGCCTTCTTTCCCAAACACCTACTCTCCAGCATTGCTCCGGTATTCCCGAAACCTGTGCCTAGTCTGTTGTAGGCGCTCAAGAAGAAGACAGGAGCAAACCGAGGGGTCACACTCTGTTCCGTGCTGCAGAAGGCTGACTGCAGCAGCCTGCACCATCCAGTGGGGGCCCCTTGGGAAGCTCCCAGTCCTATCAGAGAAATTCACTGACCGGCGATTTTTCTCAAAGACTCTGCAGAACTCCGGTGTTCCTGGAGCTGGACCAAATGGATTCCACAGGAAAATGGACCGATGGCAGGCCCTTCTCCAAAGTCTAGGGAAAAATCCAAGTTAATGGAGGGAATTTTCTCAGGGGAACATGTTTTTTCTTCCCCATCACTCTTTCTTCAGATCACGTGATCCTCCTTGCCTATTCACGAGTGAACAGAGCAGAAGCGTCTGTGTCTGAGCGCGGCCAGGCCTCCCAAACAACACAACACTGGCAAGAGGGATAATAATCCATGGGCCCTCATATGGAAGATATTACATTAGAGTCAGGGTCTCACTGAAGGTTCTCCCTCCTTTTCCTTTGGAAGTGAGGGTTATTTGACTAACTTCCTGAAATAGTTCAAATACACGCACATGATACAAAACTTAAAAGGAACAGAAGGGCAAACTGTGACAAGTAAATCTCCCTCAAAACCTTTTCCTAGCCTCCCGGCTTTTTTCCCCGGAAGCAACCACAATTTCCAGGTAGATCCCCTTTTAACATAAAAAAAGAAAATCGAGCATTTTCTCTCTCTGTAAGGTGTTAGGACTCTTATTTCCCTGGATAACATTGCTCACAACCTGTTCTATATGTATACATTATGTACGTATGCATATATATGTATATGTGTATTCATTAAGAAAAGATTACAGAAGTCGGTCAATTCTTTCAGGGTGCATTTTTTTTTTTAATTTCTAGGAGAGAGAGAGAGACAGCGTGAGCAGGGGAGGGTCAGAGAGAGAGGGAGATACAGACTCTGAAACAGGCTACAGGCTCTGAGCTGGCTGTCAGCACAGAGCCCGACGCGGGGCTCGAACCCACGAACCGCGAGATCATGACCAAAGCGAAAGTCGGACGCTCAACCGACTAAGCCACCCAGGCGCCCCATTCAGGGTGCATTTTATTCATCACATCTGTCTCCGTTATGGGCAGAAGAGAGCTGGCTGTCCATGGGTGAGTGGACTGGAAAGCCAGTCTGGACACGCCGCGCAATCGCTTGAACTGGTGTCTCCTGCTAGAAACACACAGTCCCCTGGGGATTCTGGCCACAGAGAGGGACCCTCTATCATGCCGCTCCCTACTTGCCCCTTGATTCTCAGGGCCCTGCTCCCTGAGTGTGTTAGAGAACTCTGATCACCAGAACTTTGTAGCTTACCGCTGAGCCTGCCCTCGAGTTGGAAAACTAACCATGTGATGTGACCCTGTCCACAGGGATGAGGCCAACATACTGTACTACATCATGATGGAAGAGCTGACACAGCACAAGGAAGCGTCCATGCCAGGAGACCTATCGGAGGAGGAAAAGCTCTTTCTCCTCTGTTTCCCCTTGCAGAAGCATAAGCTGGAAAAGAGTATCAAAGAACTGCACGCTATTGCCGACGAAGTGGATGCAACTCGTAAGATGCTTGCCAAGACCAGCCTGGTGGCCAGCTCCTCAGGCACAGTCTCCGGCGTCCTAAGCATCTTGGGTTTGGCCCTGGTGCCTGTGACAGTAGGGGGGAGTCTGATGCTCTCAGTGGCAGGGCTGGGCCTGGGGGCAGCCGCTGCTGTCACCAACGTGTTGACAAGTGTCTTAGAAAATAGAAGCAATATGGAAGCCAGAGAAAGAGCCAGCAGCCTGGTGCCTCTGCAAACAACGATTGAGAACAAAGCTTTGGAAGACACAAGGTTGTATGACAGTGTTGTGTGTGTTGACAGGTGTGTCAGACTCTTCAAGAAGGTCAAGGAACTTCGTGCCTACCAGGTGGCCAAAGCCAACTCCAGCTTCATGACGAAGGTCTATACGGCCATAAGCCATCTCCCCTTCTGGAGGGCGGGAAGGATGCAGAGAGCAGCCGAGGCCTCAGTCCTGTCCCTGAGCAAAGGTGTTCGGGTGCTGGGTGCTGTGGGGACTGGCTTGTTCCTTTTGCAAGACGTGCAAGACCTCCTACAGAGCTGGAAGCACCTGGAGGAAGGGGCGAGGGCAGAGACGGCCGAGGAACTGCTGAGCCTCGCCAAGGAGCTGGAGCAGAGGCTGAGGCAGCTCACGCGGCGCTACAGGCGGACCCTCCAGGGGCGGGGCTGTCGGAGGGGCACGTTCCGGAAGCAGGAGGTAGGAAGGGGTGCGGAAGGCAGATGTGGTCCCCGTCTTCCTAGAGCTTCCCATGAGAGGGAATGCGGAGTAGACAGACGCATACACACCTTCATGATCACGACTGTCCTTTCTTCAGAGACAGGACTCTGCCCAGGCCCCTCAGCTAAAGTAGGTTCCTCCTCTGCTTTCCAGAATCCCACTGTTTTCTCTTAAGGCGCTGAGCGCATACTTTGGAAATCACATAGTTCATGTAGGTATTCACCGTCTGTCTTCCTGTACAGTAGACCCTCCGGGAGGACAGGGATGTGTCTGCAGTTTCCCGCAGCACGTGGCACACCAGGGGGTACCACAAACATGTGTTGGATGACATGAGGTGGGGTTTCAAATGAGTTGGGAAAGGATTTTTATTTGAAGAACAGTTGATAGTTTAGACTCTCTTATTTGGGGGCATTAAATATCTAGCTGTACAAACGCAAGTGAAAACCACTACCGGGAACATAAAGGAGGATTTTAAAACTCCTAGTCAGTTTTTCAGAGAGTATGGAGTTAGGTTGGGTAGCAAAGCCGCCACCTGAGACCCTGGAGAGGGACACGCGAGTCTTTGCTGAAGGTGTGGAGGCTCATAAATTCATTCCTTCATTCATTTGTTCACTCGACAGATTCTATTTTACTTTTTTAAATTTAAATTTAATTTTTTTAAATTTTAGAGGTAGTGTGAGCAGGCAAGGGGGCAGGGAGAGAGAGAGACAGACAGAGAGAGAGAGAGAGAGAGAGAGAGAGAGAGAGAATTTCAAGCAGGCTCCATGCCCAGCACAGAGTCCAATGCAGGGCTCGAACCCACAACCCTGGGATCATGACCTGAGTTGAAATCAAGAGTCAGACGCTCAACTGGCTGAGCCACTGAGGCATCGCCTGGACAGATTTTAATCAGCTGAGGTCCGCGACAGGGTCCGAGGGCCGAAGAGAATGTTTCCAAACTTGGCTGCGTGTTGGAATCGCCTGGGAAGTTTTAACAAATATGAATGAGCAGGTGAATCCCGCTTGCTCCCAGGGACTGGGGTGTAATTGATCCGGGGTATGACCTGGACTTGGGGGGTGGTGATGTAAGGACCCTCAGGTAATTCCATTCTATAGCCGGGTTTGGGAAACTTTGCTTCAAGGTGTGAGGTGTTCTTACTCTACTTTTATTCTCTGGGTACATATTCTAACTTCTTTTTTTTTTTAATGTTTATTTATTTATTTTTGAGAGAGAGAGAGACAGAAACAGAGAGAGACAGAGAGAGAGAGAGAAAGAGCATGAGCTGGGGAGGGGCAGAGAGAGCGGGAGACAAAGAATCCCAAACAGGCTCCACGCTGTCAGCAAAGAGCCCGAGGTGAGGCTCAAACTCCTGAGTTGTGAGATTCTGACCTGAGCTGAAACCAAGAGTCGGCCGGTTAACCGACTGAGCCGCTCAGGCGCCCCATATATTCTAGCTTCTTAATAACCAGCAGGAGATTTGGGAGTAAAACTATGAGAGGACTCATCTTCTAAAGGGTCTTGCATGGCTGCCTCCTTGTCTGTCATGGAGGGCGAGCTTCGGCCAGGTCATTGGGAGCAAAGGCAGTCCCTGCTCTAATGGCCCTGGGGACCCAGCAGGGAGACAGATCTCAGATGAGCCATTAACAAGGAAGAGAGGCACAAAGGTACAACACAAGGGTCACAGCGGGCTGTGGGAGACCTGACAGGTGTCCCTGCTCCCGGGTGGGCAGGGCGTGGGGAGAGGAGCTGGCGCCTTCCGATTCTGCTTCGCGCACGCGCAGTCCTGGGCTTGCGTCTCTGCCGGTCACCTCGCTGAGCCCCGCGCGCAGATTCCAGACACAGGGGCCATTTGTTAAGGGCTTCAGTGCACAGACACTCACCGGGCACCTCTCTGCCGGCAGCACTCCAGGCCCGGCTGCACGAGAGTCACAGAAGGACCGGGTGTGGAAGGCTAGCCACTTGCCATCCTGGGCATGGCTGGATGCCCAGGTGAACCTTTTGGAAGATTCCAATTATGCCCCAGACGTGAGTAAACTACTCTCATTTCCTCTCTGTCCTCGCCGGTTAGGCTGCCTCCACGGAACCTTGGTTTAGCAGAGGCAAAATACAAGTGTCCAACGAAGAAAACTCGGGATAGGGAAAGTTAATGATGACGGAAGGGGCCCGTGGTAATCCCTGGGGACTCCAGAAATGCTCGGGATGGAAAGAAAATGTGTGAGAGACAAGATTTTCCATGTGTGCAGATGGGGCTGGAGGCCAGGGAGACTTAAATATGCATGTTAATTAAGGCTAAAGACTTAAAACACATGTCTTTTCCAAATTGTACATAGATACACAGTATGTTTAGAATTAAAGTTTTTTTTAAAAAAAAACTTCATTTTTATAATTTTTTAAATGTTTGTTTATTTTTGAGAGAGAGATATTGTGAGCAGGGGAGAGTCATAGAGAGAGGGAGACACAGAATCCGAAACAGGCTCCAGGCTCTGAGCTGTCAGCACAGAGCCCAACCTGGGGCTCGAACTCACAGGCCACAAGATCATGACCTGAGCCAGACACTTAACTGTCTGAGCCACCCAGGCATCCTTCCTGCATTTTAAAGTAAATTTTGCTCTACAACCCCTCCACCCGTTCATACCCTGTCCCCACTCTGTCAATCAGGACACGGGGAGTGTGCTGCGCACTTGCAGATCTGACCTACGGCCCCAGTGCCCTGGAAGGAAGAGTCAGAGATTTACAAAAAGCCCTTACTGAATGTTGTGCCTTCTTTGGAACAGAATTTGTAATCGTGAAAAGTTAGACACAGTTAACATGTTCCAATGTTAGGAGACTGGTCAGGGACAACTATTCATCCACTTGGGAGAATATAACGCAACTGTCAAAACGGTGTTCGCGAGAGCCAGTCATTAGATTAGCAAGGAAAATGTCGATTTTATCAAGTTATGGGAGAAAAGCAGGTTGAAAACTATGTATACTTCATCACCTCGTATCTAACTGGGGGAAACGGGGCAGGGTCCCACAGCAGCCGTCTCTGTCTATGGATGACCGTGGTTACCGTTACCTGCTCTCCGCCTTTCTGTAGTTGTCAAGTTTCCTATGATGTGAATTACTGTTGTTCGACATGGAAAGAATAGATAATAAATATCGACATCAAAATTACAGAGCTGCTAAATTAAAAAAAGATTTTGTTTATAACGTTTATTTATTTACTTACTTATTTTTTAATATTTTTATTTATTTCTGGGAGAGAGAGAGAGAGAGAAACAGCGTGAGCAGGGGAGGGTCAGAGAGAGAGGGAGACACAGACTCTGAAATAGGCTCCAGGCTCTGAGCTGGCAGTCAGCACAGAGCCCGACGCGGGGCTCGAACCCACGAACCGCGAGATCATGACCTAAGCGAAAGTCGGACGCTTAACCGACTAAGCCACCCAGGCGCCCCAATGTTTATTTATTTATTTTTGAGAGACAGAGGGAGACAGAGCATGAACAGAGGAGGGTCAGAGAGGGAAGGAGGCAGAATCCGAAGCAGCTCCAGGCTCTGAGCTGTCAGCCCAGAGCCCGACGTGGGGCTCAAACTCATGAACTGTGGGATCATGACCTGCACCGAGGTCAGATGCTTAACCGACTGAGCCACCAGGCACCCCAAAATTAGATTTTTTAAAAAGGAGGACCACACCCCATAGCCTGTTGGACTGACTTTAGTTTCTTATATCATTTCAATGAATACAGCCTCCTCCTCACTACTGACTGAAGCCAGAGTGGGAGGAGAATGCGTAGGTTTGCTAGGAAGACCACTCCCATGGCTGGAAACCAAGGAAGGCTAGTCTTTTGGGTTCTCAGACCCGATTCCAACATGTGTGTGTATGCGCGGGCGTGTATATAACCAACACATTAAGGTAGAACATGCTTAACTGTTCCACCATTAGAAAACTCTAGGCTAACTTGACTGATTCGTGAGCCTGTTTTGCAGATGTTGAACAACCACCAGTGAGACTGGTGACGGCAGGAGCACCCTGGGAAGAATGCGTGCGACCATGCAGGAGGGACCAGGAGCGAGCGAGAGCAATGCCTGTGAGGACGCACCCCCAGGTCTCTCCCCACACGTCACACTCACACTACGATTTTGGAACAGGTATCCCATGAGGAAACTAGAGTCCAGAATGCACTTGCTCAGAAAGGAAGACACCTGCCCTTTCCTGTGTCCAAGTAGCATATTTCATTCAACTTCTATGATTACCTTGTCCTTAAACATGCCCGACCCCAACCCTTTGGGCAGCAGAGCTGAGGCTTGTTTGGCTGCTCTCAAATAAACCCCTGATGCACAAACCGTGTCTCAGTGACTGGCTTTGCCATGCACTGTGTAGAACTCAGGTTCGGTTCCAGGTGTGTGTAGGCTTCCGCACACCCCTACGAGCAACTCCGCGATACCAGCAGGGGGCTGAGAATTCAGTTCAGTGCTGACACCGTCTGTCTCAAGAGACTTCATCACATTCCAAAGGGTAAGGTTCAGTTCCACAAGCCTGAAGCCAATTACGAGCCCAGGTGGCCGTCAATCAGAGGTTCCCATGAGCCCCTCCTTGGATTCTATTAATTTGCTACAGCAGCTCAGAGAACTCAAGGAACCCACTTCCTCACAAGATTACCAACTGATTACAAAGGAAATTAAAGAATATGACTGGACAGCCAGATGAAGAGATACAGAGGGTGAGGACCTAAACAAAGGAGCTTCTGTCCTAGCTAAAATTTGGGGCCCAACATGGTGGCATGTGGAGGTGTTTTGGTTTCTCCGATTTGGAAGCTCACTGAACCCTCTTCATTTTGGGGTTTTATGGAGCCTGCATTACAGAGTCATGATTGTTTAACTCATTGGCCATTGGATGGTTCAACCTTCAGCCCCTCTCCCCTTCTGGGAAATCGGTCTCTACTCAGGTTGGTTTCCCTAGCAACCAGCCCCCATCCTTAGGTGTTTCCCCAAGTTCACCTCCTGTGGACACACTACACAC